GTAAATGAATGGCTTCTGGTTTTTGAAATGTAAATTACATCATAACTTCTCCTCAGCTGCCGGTTAACCTGGCCGATCTTCGACCCACTTTTCTCCAGATTGTCGCTACGTTTCTCCATTTTCTGTTATCTCTTCTATTATTTTCTTCTCTTTTCTTTCTTACCGCTATTTTTTATTTTTCTTCTTCGTCCTACCGCTATTTTTATTCTTCGTGACAGAGGTTAACTTTGGCGCTTCAGGGATATCTGGTGCCATCTAGCGTCGTGAATGGGTATAATGTCTAGACCCCGAATATAAGACGACCCCCTACTTTTTCAGTCTTATTTCAATGCAAAAAACACCGTCTTATATTCGGGCCAATACGGTATGTCTGGAGCCGCAAAAAAATTAAAAACCTTATATAAGCCTTACAATGAAGGCAACACATGCAGTGCGTATCTATATTAGCTATATCAGTCGACTATCAAAATGACTAAGTTGGATACAAATACACAATGAGCCTTCATGATTAAATGTTTTTTTTCCCTGCACTGCATCCTGTCGAGGTTTTTTGACGGAAGATCTACTTTTCGACCAACCAAACTCCTGCAATCAACCCGTTACCGCACACGCGCACATATGCACGCGCTTACACACGCATGCCTACCTACCTTTGTCGAGACCTGACACGGAGGCATCGGACGCACTTTTGCAGTGTGCTAACTATCATAGCTCACGCCTACCGATTAAAAATGCTTCTCTTGGCCCTACACATTCTCATTCTTTGCCAGTACCCTCTGTGAATTGTACATGAATGCTGTTTTTTTGTTTGTTGCAAGAGCCACCTGCCTGGCATTCCGCCCTGCTAATAGAAACGTGCGTCGCAGGCTATGATGCAAATCCTCGTTGACAGAAATGTTGACATTTAATATTCTACACATTTTTACAGCATTGGAAAACGTTAAGAATATCTCCAGGGAGCCACTAGGGCGGCGCTAAAGAGCCGCATGCAGCTCTGGAGCCGCGGGTTGCCGACCCCCGGTATAGATTATATCAAGAAGCTTACCCTCAGGCGGGCTCTGGTAAAGCGACTCCGGCTGTTCGTAGTGACCCTGTGGTTCTGGGTCATCATACAGCTGCTCTCCATTCTCATCAGCAGCTTCGCTGGTAAAATCATCTGCAATCTAATGACGATAATATGTTCCGTTATCAGTGTGCGGATTTACCGTTGGCATCTGCTTAAAATGCACACACGTGGATTTACTGGTAAATCTTTGAGCAGATTACGACCAGATGACACACACCATGCGTTCTTTTACTGTACATCATGCAATTGACTTAATAGCAACTCTATCTCCAAGTCGCAATGCCATGGAGAAGTTTCTTTGCTATTATTTATGGTGTCCTAAAACAGATTATGATATGCACAACAGCTGTTGCTGGGCCCATTGTCCTCTCTGCACAATCTCCAAAGTGTCTTCAGAAGATTTCTGTTGTGAATTAACGCTATATGAATAAAACTGACTTGACTAGGATAAGGTAGTCTGTAGAATACATTTTTTGTATGTTTGTTTGCATGCTGTTTGTAGATCACTTTTTTGGGAGTCTGGGGTACAAACTGTTGGTACAGCGGTCCAACCAATTTTTTTTTAAGCCTGTGGCAGAATACATTTTTTCGATAACCAATGAACTTCTCTCGACATACATATAACATATACAATAACTACTTTTTTGGTCACTTGACACAACAATAAAGATATGAATTTCACATTTCAGCGGTTCACTTATTTCTTTGTATTTTTTGACACAAGAGAGAAAAATGTAGTTTTTTGGTCTTTGGTTTTGTATGGGATTTTTGGACTGTTATTACCATATTTTGCGCGCTAAAAGGCGCACCTAAAAGCCTTTCATTTTCTTAAAAGCTCACAGCGCGCCTTAAAATCCGATGCACATTGTGTATGGTCATTACAGTAATATTTCGACCCCAAAATGGCTCCTTGTTCGACACACGCTTACAACGCAGAGTTCAAACTTAAGGCGATCGGTTACGCAGTTGAACATGGAAATAGAGCAGCGGCAAGAGAATTCAACGTTAACGAGTCAATGTTGTAACTTGCTGTTGGTTAAGTGAACTGTGTCGCTGCTTTATTAAATACGTTTTACTGACATCTGATCGTTATGTTGGCGTTTCCTTGAGCGTAGCTCCATCTAGTGGATGCAGATGTAGATTGCATCTTATAATGCAGTGCGACCAATGTATGAAATAAATTACAAAATAGGCCATTCATTGAAGGTGCGCCTTTTAGTGTGGAAAATACGGTATATATTATCAGGCCGATTAATTGATCTGGCCCCAGTTGTCTGTGTTCTCAAAAGTGCAACAACAGGGATGGGGAAAATGTTGACAGTAGATTATGGCAGAGCTGTTCCTGTTTCTTTTGCCGTTTTGCGAAAATGTCAACACAGAGTACTGTGCTGTGTAACTGCAGTCTTCTTTTCTGTCTAATTTATGACCGTATGAAAAACAAAGTAGAAAGTCCTCTACGTCTGGAAGCACACCTCGTATGCTGAAGAATAAGAAGGCTGGACCGGTGGAGTCGGGCTGGGAGTGGGACTCGGGCTCGCCGCAACAGGAACCGGAGAAGGAGCTTTGGCCTGCTGTTCAATTCTACGTCGTGCCTCCTCTTGCTCCTGTTTCTCCTTGGCCTGTCGACGTGCCCGCTCATCTTCAGCTCTCTTTCTGTCCTCTTCCTCCTTCTGCCTGGCAATATTCTCAAATTGGGCCTTAATGCTTCCTGTGCTGCTGCCAGCTGGATGAAAGGAAAAACAATTGGAGAAATGAAAATTGGGGATCAGTTTTTGAAAGCACCTATTTGACTGCACATTACTTACTCACTTACGCTTTTGTAAGTGCACAACCAGGAATTAGTTCCAGTATCTGTCTAAATTGATGCCGATTGCATCAAATTGTTGCTCAATAGCATTTTTGGAGGAAAATGGTCACCGATTGCATCAAATTGTTGCTCAATAGCATTTTTGAAGAAACTGGAGGAAAATGGTCCATGAACTACTTGGCTACAACCAGCAGAGGCGTTGTTGATTCAGTCAGCCTACTCGCTGGCGTGCAAATAAACAACAAAACAATATGATGTTGGCTACACCTACAAAGCCCTCTCCTCTAACAACACTGGGATCAAAACAGTTGTTAAGTATTTTTGGCCATATAAACTTAACACCGGTTTCAGAAAGCAGAGAAAACAATTTTTTTGTGAAAAGAAATACCAAGCAGAACCTTGACTTTGATGATGGCTTTTTGTTCTTGTGACAACCACTAACGATAAAACAAGACTGAGAAAGGGCTTTTGATGGCAAAATAAAGACATAAAACTATGGAACATGCTGTGACTATCGCTGACTCACCGTATGGCTCGAGTTGAACATCAAAGGCTTTTTTGACAGTGCATCATCTTTTCTAACAATCGCAACACACTTTCTATTTCCTACCACAACATACACGTTTTACATCATACACATGTACACAGTGGAACCTCATCCTGGGCATGGATGAGCGGCTGGATCTCTGTTGTAATGCTTCTCACACTGCGTAACACATAGCTGTAACCTGAAAAACTAGCGATATCCCTCCACATTGATGATCATACAATCACAACTTGCCGTTACATTTGTGACATCTGAAAATCATTTCATTTTCATCCTTTTTTTAATTATTAAAATGTAGTCTCATTCCATTTATGTAAAATACATTCATACAATCACAGATGCCTGAAGCCGGTCCCTTCTTGACAGACACAAACCTTTCCCAAAGACGTAAATAAAGCACTAAACAAACAGAATGGCGCTTAATATTATTAATATTAAGAAAAGGGAAATTGCTAAAGGGAGTGTCACCGGAAGCACTGGTCGTACAGGAGCAGAAATATCTGTGCTCTTACGTTTTGTAGGCAGGCTACATACGTGTTGTAGTGACATTTATGAGACAGACAAATGAGAAGGCACTCGCTGGTGACATTTATGAACGTTTCAGATTAGAAACGGGCTCAGGGAAGACCCTGTATTCTATTCAGGTGTGAGGTGCCAAAACTTGTCCGACTTCTAATGTGTTCACAGTTCTCCCCCTACTAATCGAGATGACAAGCCGAGATTTAAAGCCCGTATCCCGCTGAGCGGTGACAGTTTGTAAATGTTGGTGAGTGTACTGAATGTTAATTTTTCATCAAGGTTCGTTCAAGGCCGCAAACGGCTGCCAGACGTTTGCCAACAATTTTAATGGTCGCAACCTGTTTTGTTTTGTTTTTTGTCGCGAGGAGATGTTCAAGAAAAAACAAAACAGTTGGGCTTGAACAAATCCTGATAATAACTCAACATTCGCTGCCTTAAAAACTTTAGCCCTCAGTAGAATTCAGACTTCACCCCATAATATTTATCTTCTACTCAAAAGCTGTGCTGATATTAAAATCAAAGCGATGCCACTCGGCCACCGTCAGTGATCTTTTAGTCCACATATGTCAAAGTGCCGGCCCGCGGGCCAAATCCGGCCCGCGAGAATGTTTTCAGTGGCCCCTGGGATGATATTGATTTATTATTAGAACCGGCCCGCGGACCGCAGCAAGCCGAGAGCCCGCAGATCTTTTACACGCACCAATACTACATTTCCCACAATGCAACGGTGACGCGCCAAGCAGTCGGCCGCTTTATTTAAATATTTATTAGTCTAGCAGTCGTTCACATAACAGTGACATTAGCTTTCAGATACCCATCAAAAATGGCAAAACGGAAGGTGGACACTGAGAACCGGGGGTTTCAAACAAGGTGAGAGTCGAAGAACATGTTCATGGACGTAGCTGGAAAACCTGTGTGTCTTCTGTGCGGAGAAAGTGTGGCGCGATTGAAATAGTGTAATCTGAGACGACATCATGAAACGAAACACGC